AGAAAAAATGGGTGTGCATGAGGAAGGATGATAGCTCACTATTTTCATTTTCACCTAATGTGTGTTAAGCGAAGACAGTTATGTATTTGATGGTATTTGTACACTGGTGAAAAAAAGGTATGGTGATGTTAATGTGGAGAATATCATTCAAGTGCTTTTCTCCCTAAAAAGTAGGACTATACTAAAATGATTTTTCCTACATTCAAGATCGAGTCCCTAAAAAGTAGGACCATATAGAAAACAATTTTTCCTATATTTTAGGGGTCAAGAATATAACAAAAAAATACTAATAAATTAAAAAGGCAAGTAGACAATTGTGAAAAAAATGTCTACTCTCGTGCTTTCCACTGTTTAGCTCTTCTTAAAGGAATCGATCTCCTTGATAGCAGCATTAAGCGAATCAAGGAAGACGACATGACGAAGACCCAAAGCATGGATCATTCTCTTCTTGAAGATATAAATTCTACCTAGGATCAAGATATTACAAGTTCTCCCAAATAGGGTCTCATGGAAGAGGACCCCTTTATGGCTAATAATTCATATCCTTTTGGACCGGTTATGGGCCTCTCATAGAGGGATGATCTTCTTGTGGTGGATAACTCGTCGGTTATTTTCTTCTCCATGATACGAAGCTACATGGATGAAGGCTCCGTTGTTGACGATGATCTAGAGGATGACACCCTTATTATTTTTCTCTCAAAAGCGAAAACATGCCACATTCGAGAACCATGGATGATTGGCATCATTATTAAAAGTTTCAATCATAAATCTCTAGGATATAATAATCTTTATCCTCAAGTCAAAACTTAATGGAAGGCTGTGGGGAGATGCGATTTTATTGATTTCAAGCTTGACTTTTTCTTGGTACGTTTTCAAGATAATGAAGACCTGACTAGGGCTATTCAAGGTGGTCCCTGGTTCATTGGTTCATTTATTCTTATGATGAGAAGGTGGGAACCTAATTTTAATTTTGAAGAAGCTTTCCATTCAACCATAACAATGGCTGTCTGGGCTTAATTGCTTAACCTTTCTACTGATCAATGTGACCCTGCTACATTGAGAAAAATTGGATATAAAATTGGCCCTCTCCTTTAGGTAGATGCCTATATTACTCACCACACAAGAGGAAGATATGCCATGATTTGTGTCCAACTTGATGTATCCCAACCGATTGTCAAGGACGTAAAAATAGGAAAGAAGAAGCAAAAAGTTGTCTATAAAAGAGTGAGTGTGTTATGCTTCCACTCTGGAAGAATTAAGCATCATAATAATCAATGCCTAACATGAAACATATGTCTGACCAAGTTAAGCAAGCTTCAAGCTTCAAGCTTCAACTACCCATCTGTAGACATTAATGGGGGAAGCAAGTACTATTATTGTTGCCTTCAAAGGTATAGACAATTTCAATTCCATGATTGACTTTAAAAAGAAAGGAGATTTATGAACCCTCGTTGTTGGTGAAAGGAAGGTGACAAAAGAGAAAGAACACTATAATAGTAAGAGTATCAAAAAAATGAAGGCTGGGCAAAGATCCCAAACAACCCGTGACCAAGGTGGCCCAACTCAAAAACCCAGTCCAAAGTCCCAATCATCCAATGGAGCAGCATGATCCCATCAAGCCAATGGTCAAATGGTCAGTTCAATTAATGTAGAATCTTCCCAAAGGAAATCCACAACCACTCTGAATGGGAAACTGGTTTAAATATTCAAATTAAAACTAACCAAAAAAAGATCTAATGGGTTCCCAAGGACCACAGCAAACACTAAGGCCTAACTAAGCCCAAAGCCCATAAATAACCCAAAGCACAAACATCCTATAGTTAATCATCTAGAGCCCATTTCCCAAGGCATTTCCTTAACTCAGCCTAGAGGTAATCTCATGAATCAACCTAGTCCTTCTATAATGAATGAGTTATATATAATAGACCCAAAAAACCCAATCAGTCCTCCCTTATATTTTGATTATAGAATGGATGGTGGGCAAGAGATTGCTTCCTTGTTACATCTTCTCTGCCACCACAACCTGTTATTGATGGAACTATTCTCATTCCTACCTTAACACTGGAGAACACAAGTTATCTTAGTAAAGGATCAGATGTCAATCTGAATGGAAACAGCATTATATTGGATCCTGGATTGCGTCTCACCTAGAGAATCCCAATGGACAATGCAGAAATTATTTTCAGGTTGGAGAGCTCTGGTACTTACTGACATGAGGGTGAATTTGTCAGAGATAATCCATAGCATTTTAACTCCAATAAAAGCTTTAAATCAAGTGGACCTCTACAAAATATGGAACCTCGAGTCAATTACAAATGAGAATAGAAACATCGGGTTTTATTTCACCCCAAATTATCAACAGCTGGGTATAAAACCATCACCTCAAGGTCTTGACCTTCCAAGAAAAAATGAGAAAGATCCATCTTTTCCCCAAAGTTTAGTGGTCACTAATGCTGCAAACAGAAAGGGATTTCAAAGTTTTAATCCTACCTTATCACTTTCCAATGGTGAGGTTTTTAACTTGGACAAACCCTTGTCCATTACTGGTGATGAACCCAATGTTAGTTCAACTGGTCTTAAGACCATAACCTATTAAAGAGTGGACTATGAAGATCATCTTTTGAAACTATTGCATGGTGGCAAAATCATGATTTCACAAGTATGTAATGGATCCCAAGAGACTACACAATCTATCTATCTTGTTGATCCTGGAAACCAAATTATCTGGGAAAGATGCCAAAGACCAAGCAACATCTTTAGGTTTCCCTAAATATCCTGTTGTGGATTCAAAAGGGCTTGTTGGTGGACTTTGGCTTCTTTAAGGATGACTCAATGCTCTTGGTGGATATTGTATCTCAAAGCCCTCAAGTTATCCACACAATAGTTCATGTATGTAACAATCTTTTTTTCTTCTAATTGGTTTTTTTCAAGAATCTATGGTAGACTCCAATTTGAATTGAGATTTGTATTATGAAAAGAATTGATGAGCATGGCAGGCATTATTTCGCCCCCTTGGATTATCATTAGTGATTTCAATGATATCCTAAACCAAAGCGAAAAATTTGAGGGTAATATCATATCTCAAATTAGAGTTGAGCCTTATTTTGAATCTACTCAACCTAATGGGGAGACCCATATATGGGTCATAGATATATTTCTTTAATCCAAAACTCAAAATTACCTAATTCAAGAAACTCAAGAATGAATTGCCACATTTGATTGGTGTGCTCATTGTTGTGAATTGTGATAACTAATAATAACTGATTTCTTGCAAATAATAGCTTTGTATTATTCACTTTTAGCAATTTCTAGGATAGTGCATCGAAATGTTTGCTTTGTAGAATTTGACAATGAATGAATTTGGGATCAATTTCAGTGATTATTTCGTGTTAACATTTCATCAAAACCCCAATTGAGTCTTCTCAACCATGTTACGAAGAGGCAAAGTTGTTTCAATAACCTAGGTTAATGTAGAAATCAAATATACATCTCTAGTTATAAAAAGGTGACCTTCAACCACAACCTCCAAATCATCACTCATAAGTATTTTGAGCACTTAATCCCTCAAGGAATGCACGTCAGTGATCTTATCGAACAGTAGATTCAACAAGTGGATGCCAAAGTTGAGAGTCTACGAGTATTTTCCCTGCCTCTCCATGATGAAGGTGCTGTTTGGCCTAACAAAGTTATCCCCTAGTTAGTTGAAGAAGGTATCCTCTCCTAAGTAGGGAATCGAAAGAATTTTTTTTTTGCAAGGATCTTATCATATAATCAGTTAAGGAGGAGGTGCGGAGTTGGGCTATGAAGACATGGTTTTGGGGTGGTTTTAATTGGGTTAGAGACGCCAGTGCCAAAAAGCTCTAGTCAAAGGGCAGTGGTTGGATATTTTAATCAAGTAAAAAAATATACGTAAGAAATTAAAATGTTTAGTTATTGGAGGAAATGATGTTTCTCCTTTCTTCCAACCTAATATGTTATTAAATCTAATACAACTTTGTATCTTAGGGTTTTTTTTTTTTTATTTAATTATATACTGAAGAACATTGATAGAATAATTTATTCTTATGTTTTTTGTTAACCAATAGTGACCATCAAGTTATAAGATGTTGGGAACTATTAAAGCAAACAAAGTCTTAAATGAGATATTAAAAAAATAAAAAACCTTAAATGAGGGTTTTTTTTTTTTATGTAACATGTAAAAAACATAATAAATATATTTTTTGTTATAAATTTATATTAAAAAATAAAAATTGACCTTTAATTTATCAATCATCTAATTAAATTTATTCATTTGATAATAATATTAAAATTAATATTAATTTTTATATTTTTATATATATTTATAAAAAAAATCTTTAAATTAAACACTAAGGACATTTATTAAATAAATTTCATGTGAATGATCACGTGACCCAACGCCAGAAGGGGGAAGTCTTTTAATGGGCCCAAACAGAAAATCTGGACCTCAGAACTTGGGCCTTCATTGGCCCATACAGAAAATCCATCACAGTAG